CCGAAGCCGCCCGACAGGCGGTGCTCGACGGCGGGGACGCGGGCGCGGAGCTGCCGCGGGGACGGGACTGGGCCGCAGAGGTCGTGTGCGGCGTGCACGCGGTGCCGAGCATGAGCCACGTGCACGTGCATGTGCTGTCGCGCGACATGCACGCCGAGACGATGCGCCACAGGAAGCACTACAACTCGTTTGTCACGCCGTTTCTGGTTGACTTGGATGATTTTCCCCTGTCGCTGGCGGACCCGAGGAGGGCGACGAAGAGGGAGGGCTATCTGGCGAGGGAGCTGCGCTGCTGGCGCTGCGGGCGCGGCTTTGGGAACCAGTTCAAGATGCTCAAGGAGCATCTCGAGGAGGAGTTTGAGGCGTGGAAGAAGGAGTAGGGGTAGGGGGGGTTCTGTCCATGGGGGCATGTGAGGGAAGTGTCGTGCTGGAATCGTCATGACTGGACATGGCCAGGTACAAAACGGAGGATTCCCGAATGAGGCTTTCGTGACATGCATTTACAGATACAAAGTCTGTTTCTTCCGTCTCGCCATGACCTACCATTTGGCCCATGAAACATGTCCAACCTGGCACGCTCTATTCAACCACGTCCCTGAGCCAACGGACCGGACCGCATACGCAGAACATCACGCCCGAAGAATAACCCAACAAACTCCATTCGGGATATTACATCAAAGCACGAATCAAAGAATAAAAACGCAGGGGGCTCAAAAAGGCGGTTGGCTCAAAATGCCGACCTCCCGGGTTTGGGGGCCAAGAAGGCGCCGCTGCTCCGTACCACGTGTTGTCGTACCAGTTCTGCATCTTGGAAACAACAAGAAATAAGATAAGAATGGAAAAATGCCCGGTGAGCCCCGCCACCATGTGGGCCTTTGCATGATTTTTGAACATGGTTTGTTTTGTTTTTTTCTATTTCGACTAATATGGCCTTTGCTCGGATGGTAAACCCCCGGGGATGGAAAAGACCGAGTTATATGAAAGCGGTTTGGATAGAAAAGAAAAAGACCAGGGGGGGCGTTGGCAGGCGGATAGGCGCAATGCGGGAGGAATCTCGGCCTTGCTGTTCCCGTTGTTTCCGCGACGGAGCAGAACAAACCTACACGGGGATAGGGCAGGAGACTGACTGCTGTTGCGGGGGGAAGTGACTGGGAGAATCAAGTCTTCCGGACGTCTCGGCTGCAGCACCACGTACATCCATTTAACATGCCACTTTGACCAAAAACGCTGCAATCCACGAGACTTGGTCGTATGGCAATATACCGACGAGTCATGCACGCAACCGGCAAGGGGGCATGAGTGCGAACACGAAAAAGAATGTATGTGATATTGGAAGAAGAAGAGCAGAAATTGATATCGTTGCCAACCAACTCCGGATATAGAAGATGGAAAAGAAAGCCCCCCCCGTATTGCCCAGTATAATCCTGCCTCTTGCGCCGTCCTGGTCCTCATGTGTCTGATGGCTCATGTGTCTGATGGCCAGAATGCGCAACGCGACATCTTGTAGCAGAATTCACAGCTAATCCTCCCAAGTGTACAATCCCGCAATAGCCCAGTGTAGTAAAAAAGAATCAAGACAAGAAAAGAATGCGTGCCAACGAGCAAGTCTTGCGCCGTGAAACCCCAGAAACCCAGACAAAAGTATAGTCCGCCAGCCGCCGCCCCGTTTTTTCAATAAACAAAAGAGGCATGACCGAATCATTCAGACCGAACCACCCAAGGGTACAAATGTCAACACCTTTACCAACCCAGTAATTCAATCAAGGGGCCACAAAAATGTACAGCAAAGCCCCAGGCCAAAAGGCCACCAACGTGAACCAGAACCAACTTCTAATTGGTGCTCCACGAGTAGTTGCTCATCGACTCAAAGGCACCTTTGGCGCCGGGCGTGTAGAGAGCATTAGGGAGCGTCGCTTCCTGCTTTGAGTGTCTGTCAAAAGCATACGGCCGTGGGTGATGCGCGTTGCCGCCAGAAGCGCTGGGGTAGTTCAGATTCGTCGTGGGCTCTGCCGTGCTCGAGGTCCAAGTACCGCCAGAGGATGGGTAGTAGTCTCGTTGAGTAGCCGTGGTCGTGCTGTCAGGCGCATACCCCATGTTGCTAGCATCACTCGTGACGGAGGCACGGTATGATCCGTAGCGGTAGTCAGAGGCACTATCCGAGGCGGAAATGGAGCCATGCACAGACGACTGGCCTTGGTGTCTGGGGCTCTTTGCTGATCTGCCATTGTCGACATAACGTGGAACGTGTTCCGTGGCGATTGCCCCAGCGGTGGGAGCATATTGCGATAGAGAGACAGGTGGTCCTAATGAGGTGGCCAGGGGAAGTTCTGAACTGTCACTAGCAAAAGCAGAGATGCTGGGTACCCCCATCGTAGAAGTTGTTGGTAGTTGATGTAGAGTATCATTTTGCTGGTTCCATGACGGATAAGAACTGAACAGGTCCTTGTTAGTGTCCTGTCGATGCACGGTGCAGTAATCCACATACTAGGATCGGAGAGCGCTGGGCTGGCCAGCGGCGGGTTTGGGCGGGCTGAATGTAAAGGCAGATCTGGGAACCTGCATATCTAGGCTTCCCCCCCGCTTGCTTTCGGGCTTGACAGAAAGAGCACTAGCAATGACGCCCACTCCAGTCTCAACAAGGGCTTGGCCGCGAGAGCCGGCGCTCGAACCGAGGAGAGGAATCTCCTTGCGGGCCTGGAAGTTGCGCGAACGACAATAGGTGACGTGATGGACTCGGTCAAGACTACCTTGGTGTTGTCGGCAAGTGTCCCATGGACCTTGAGATGCAAGACAAAGTGCTGTTGCAGCTCTTTGCGACGACCATTATTGGCAGTGGCACTGTTTCAGCATGATTAGTACATGACTTTGGTTCATGAGATGAGCTCGAAACTCACATTCGGAACTGCAGGCGTCGCCAGCCAACGGGGTAGACGGCATATTCACCGTCAGAGCCGGGGCTACTTTCTTGGAATGGGATCAACGGCAGAGCCGGAGGCTCCTGATCTGGGTTATGCGCCTGTTCCGGCGAGTTGGGTGGCGGCGTTTTCCAGGGGATGACAATCAGGCGAACGGGGTTACCATCAACAGATTCGATTGCGGAAATGGTGACATCCATGTTGGTGACAAGCACAGTCTCGTTGGCCTCGTTGACAACGGAGATGGGGCCTCGTGGCGTGACAAAGGAGCCGCTGATCTGGAAGAGGTTACGTCGGTAGCAAGTCAACTCTGGCTGAAGAGCACTGTTGTCGCCACTATTAGGGGGCATTTCCGAGAGAAAGAACATTCCGTGCAGCTGAGCGGAGAGCTCGAGCTGCTGCACGCGGCCATGCTGATCAACCACCGTGCTCTTTTCTTGGGAGCGGCGGAAAGAGAGAAGCTTGTGATCTTGACTGACTGTGAGTCTAGAATTGTCGTCGCGGAGGTCTTGAACAATCTCTTGGTATGGCTGGGATTCAGCCTGAGAGAAGGATCTCTTCAGAGGAGGGTAGTTCTGATGCGAGGAAAGAGTTGTGGGCTGAGGTCGGTCGAAAGTAGACCCTTCGTCCTGCGAATAGCGTGTGTATGATGAATAGTGGTCCTGGCCAGCGCGAGGTCGAACGCCAGATGAAGAAAAGGCAGCATCGATGGAGCTACCGAGACGTCCGGACATGTGCGAAGCGCCGTAGTTGGGCCAAACACTCGCGTGCGAGGGATCTCCCCTCAAGTCACTCATGGTTGGGGGATAAGCTGTCGCGGTCATCATTGGCGCATATTTCGACGAGGTGTATCGAACTTTGCGAGGCCGGCCTGGGAGACGAAGACTATTGAATGGCAGGAAAGAGAGGTCCGGGTCAAGTAAGGGCGCAAGTCTTGTCTGTGTAACTGGAACAAGTTCTACAACTGGTTTGGAGAATAGACAAGCAAAGAAGGGAAAGATGGATGTAACGACGAAAGAAGCAATGTAGACAAGGGAGAGAGGGAAGTTGGGGGCGAAGAGGATGGATGGTCTTGTATTCTTGTAGAATCTCGCTACATGGATGGAGCCCGATGGGACCCCCGTACAAGAACAACGACATACGGCAGATGGCGAAGGGGCGTGTCCAACAAAAAGGCCGGCAGTGTGTCCGGGTGGCGGAGATCGAGGTTGGAGGGGACGGTCTTGACGCCCAGGAACGGGAGCTAATAAACTCTCTACCAGTCGCTCTAATCATAGCAGACGAGTCTGGTGGCCCTCAACGGAGCCCCCTGCCCATTTAGTCGGTGGGGGAGACCATGGTGGTGTACTTTTGTTCGAACGGAGTACAATGCTGCAGAGTACCCCTACGAGCACACCACCGCGATACAAGGTGCAGCAGGTAAATCAGACGGGGGTGGGAAGGGGGTGTGGTGGAGGTAGATCTCGTGCTTTACCGGCCACGATGGATGGATGGTAATTAGACGATGAAAAAGAATTGGGCCATGGACCATGGTAGGCAAAGCGACGAGCGCGGTGCGTACTTGGTTCAAGTGTGAACAAGTGCGGCACGATGAGGAGCCAAGCCGCTCATTTGAAGGCCCCCGTCTCCGGCACACTACTCGGTCGAGGAGGAGACGGCGCGTAAATCCAACGAGACGGTGCACAGCGTGAATGTCGATGAAATGAGAGCACGTTGCGCGGCGTTGCTTATTAGTAGCAGCCAGTTATACTTTGGCCACTAGGTTGAAAGCTCAACCAACGTTGGCGCAGCGCATGGCTAACAACGGCGAGGTAGCCTCAGTGCAACGCTGCTGTATTTATCCAGGCTGAATCTGCATAAAATAAGGGTGAGCAAGGAGAGCGAGGAGGCGAGTGGGTTGCGGTGGGCTACCCTGATTTGGGCTGGCGAATAGACAATCTGGAGGAGGGTGCGTCGCACGCCCCTGCTCGTGCAAGCGATATCTGTGATGGCTGCCGGGACTTGATGTCTCTTGGTCACACTCTCTGAGAAGGAGCAGCGCCTATCTCGAGGTGGCTTCGGAGCAGTGGACTAGGAGCCATGAACAGGGCCACAACTAGCGCTGTCGGGGTACTAGAAACGAACTAATCGCTCTCACCGGGACAGATGGTGTCCAGGCAAGCCGGGGCCTGTGGGTATCATTTACTGGGGCGAGACTAATAAGATGTGAGCGCACTGAGATGAGAAGAAGAGAGATGTACGAGACGCACCCTGACCACCTTTCATGTTTGTGACTGTGATGAAGGCTCTGCCACTAATACTTGGTAGAGCGAATCGTACAGGCATTTCATCCTGGCTGTCATAAAACGCGCCTGCTGTTTACCGTTGCGCTTTGGCGAGGTGCATGAACAGCCAAAGACACTGCCTGATTGGTTTTCTAGAAGGCCGCAACGTTTGGCTGTTTGGTAGCGCGGGCGCAACCGAACAGCGGTGGACGTGACGGATAGCTGCAGCTAGCAGAGAAAGCTAGTTGGTCTCTGCACACGATGCCCTGGTGCACGAAGGAGAGAGCATCTGCGGGATAATCTGCAGCCAGCCGAGAGGCCATGCGTGTCGTGTCGTGACGGCGAGATGGCCGGTCCAGCGCGGTGCCAGATGATTACTTGAGTGCCATGGATCGACCCTGCCTTGTCGGCTACTGAGCCGACCGCAACGCCCGTGCCAGAAAATAGCAAGTGACTGTCGTGCTCATCAGTCAGGCGGTCGAAGAGTGTGTCAGATGGGCTTGGGAGAAAAGATCATGGCGAAACGAGACGGCGCTATTGTCAATGTGGGTGGATTGGACGGTGGAGATGAGCGGAGGCACTCGAGAGGCCGCTGCAGAGTGGGGGCGGCGATTCTCTGACTTGTTGAATTCAACTTGAATGGCTGCTCCCTCTCCCTCTCCAGTGGTGTGTGCACCATCGCTGATGAGGACTAATTAGTCCGCAATGCCGAGCCACGGCATTCACGTACCTATTTTTGGGTTATGGGACATCCATCGAGGGCGACGTATCATCGCGGGCAGAGAGTCGGGCCTGATTAGAGCGCTTTCCTGGTCGAGTGCCATGGTGTCATGGTGTGCCACATGGTGCTGTGCTTCATCTGAAGCGGGAATAGCGAAATCGACTGGTCCTTTTTGCTTTTCGTTTCGGGCTGAATCATGGCGGTTGACCCCGGGGAGACAGCTGCGCGTGCCCGCTGCTGATCTGGGAATTTGTACCTACAAGGCAATTAAAAATAAGGCCTGTTTGTTTTATCAACTAACTAGAAATTCGCCAAGCCGGTGCTTTAAACTCCCGTCCAATCACCAAGTCAGTGGAGTATTGAGGGCGGGAGGGGATAGCCTGCAGCAATTCGCCTTGATTAGTGTGCTACCAGAACACTGTTCACATCATCAGTGCTGAATAGTAGGCTCCGTTCGCAGGTCCCTTGTCAACGAATGTGGCGAATATAATTTGTCCGAACCCGATTTCTTTGTATGGGTAGTTCGGAGGAGGAGGTTGGCTAGCGAGAAATCAGGTAAACCAGTATTTCACAGAACAGCATGGCAACCGCAGGGAATGGTGTCTGAGACAGTTCGACCTGGAAGAAGACCACCAGACCAGGACCAGCCCGTGCCAGCTTCCTAGCCTAGTTAGAAACGCCCCAGCCGCATCACAAGTAGCGTCACTTTCCCATCTCAGCTAGGTTGGCGTATGGTTGGGCTGGTGGACGCTGGGCTTCGTAGCTTTGATGATGCAGTATCTGTACTCGGTGCCGACTGTTTGTTTCTGTTTGCGCGCTCAAAACACTGTCGCAGACAGCTGCCGGGCTCAGCCACACCAGATGTCACGGCATATCGGTCCCAGGGTTTGCAAACTGTGGCGTCGTTTTAAGCACAAGGTCCTCCGGCCTGGACAAGGGCAAATAAAATAAAAAAAGCTGCACGATCTGTCCCAAGACCTCTCACAAGTAATAACCATACCATGCGCATGTCGACGCCAATTTCCAAGGACCAATAGGTCACTTCACCAATATCAGCAGTGGCTCGATGGGAGATGATCAAATCAAGGAAAAAGGGAATAATCGTAATATTGTGGACAACCAGATCATTCTTCGGCTCCGACCTCGAGCGCCGGGGGCTAACTTCGGTTGGCGCAAAAGAAGACCAGCGGTGGTGGGATTATGCCCCGCATGGCTGGGGGGGTAGCATCGCTGTGAGAATGGCAAATGGGTCTGGGGATAGACGGAGTACGAAGTACATACATAACTGCAGAGTCTGGAAGAAAGATTTTACAAAACGAGCTTCAGCGGCAGCACCGACAAAGAGCCTACCTACTATTCATCAGCACCCCTCGTCACCATCAAACTTGTAGCTAGACTGCTGCTGAGTCTGCAGAACTTTTGATAGCGTGCTTTGTTAGCGTGCACATACTACAGGCCTTGGTAGCTGCACAGTAAACTGGCAAGTCATGTTTGGCACGGTGCCCAGTCCTGTGGGACTCAAGAGGCAAAGAGAATCTCACCATCAGGGCGAGAGCCGATACGCCATCGCATTGGGATCGCCTTCGGCGGCCACCGCGGGCACTAATCCGCACTGCGATTGATTCCGTGTGCTTTGCTAGCCGGGGTATTCCGACTGCTGTTTTGTATTTCCTCTGAAATTTCCGCATCTGCATGTCTTTTGTGTATATGTGCTTGCGTGTCCCTGTTGGCTCCTGCGGCTACCAATTCAACCCTCATTTGACGAAATGACCGCATTTCGATGCCCACTTGATGCAGAGTAGCACCGCGGGCGAGATGAGGGCTGTGACAGGCGCCGCCTCGGTACAAGTCGATTACTACCAGCATGCAGGCAGCGGTGGCTCTAGCCCAGGGCTGCCAAGAACGTTGGTTAATTACAGTAAGTAGTCCTCAGCGTTCACTCCACCGTGATATGGTAATTCTCTCATGATAGGAAGCCTGTCGCTTTTCATTGCGGCTTCCGCATAGATATGACAGATTGTACTAGAGGTCTTGGTAGGGTTAGCTTGGTCTGCCTGCGCCACGCGGTCATCGTCACCAATCATCATCCCGTCAAAGGCGGTGCTGGGGGGTCTACAATACCAAAGTTTATGAGAACAGACCAAGGGACATGGCACCGAGGCAACGGCACAAGGCACATGCAGCCCAGGGTTTTATGATGCAACGGCTGTATCGGCGCGGCGCAACCTGGTGGCGGGGAGAAGGGGGGGGAGGTTTCCTGCGGGAGATGGTGGCTTGCACTCGCTTGGGCTTTCTATAATTTAGTCGAGCCACAATTCGCCTAGGCCGACGCTGACTGGACAGCGTTAGATGGGGCCAAGGGACTTGTTGCGCAAGTATCTGCCAGGGGGGTGTGCAGTTGCGGCCGCTGTCGCCAGTCACCCCGTGCGTCCAAGCTAACTACTGGGCTTCCAAGACAGGCCTCGCACTGCCAACTGCCCTGTAAGGCAGGTACAAAATCCGCCTAGTGTTAGTGCCTTTACGAGCCCCTGTCTGGCCCCTGTGCGGTGGTTTCTGGTACTACCTCTGTAGCGGCGCCACATTCTTCGCCAAAAATCGTAGCCTCGCAATCGCTGCCCACCAAGCCCACCCGCCACTGTCTACGATCACCTGTAGCATTGCTAGCGGAGCTGCTTGTTCGCCGTCAGTTGGGCTGCCGATGAAGAGAGGAACCCAAAAGAAAACGAATTCCGCCATCCCGTCCCGAATGAACACTATTATTCTAGCTGATTACCGTTGATCTAGACATGGACAAGTAGGCGGAGAAACCAGTGAGGCACTGCCGTACCTGCTCGGTACGGACATAGCTACATCTGGATCTAATAATGCCGCCACTGCGCCTCTTCCAGCCACGACCCCCTCGCTCCCCCTCCTCCTTCTCCTCCCGCATCTGCCCATCACCGTCGTAGCATTCCGTCCACCACTTGATCATTGATCACCCACCTCCACGCTGCGCTCTTCGCACATTTACCACCATCATCACCCACATTTTTGCCATCCAACTAGCCTTCTCCGGTCATGTCAGCCTGGTCTGGCCGCCCCTCGCACTAACCAAGGCACGTTCAACGTTCTGACCCGTGCAGCCAATTCAATCCGCTACCATGAAGAATTTGGCCTCGCAAATTCTGGTGGGGGGTGAGGGGTACGACGACATGAAGACGCTGACTTGTCATTGTCGAGGGGCGCAAGGGCGGTTGAAGGGACCCAAGTTGCCAAGGGACGTCCTTCTGCCAGGCCTGCAGTCGAGTCCAGAGCCCAATCGACACACCAGCAGAAGTTCCCCCACTGTAGCGTCCGGAAAGGTCACCGTCGTGATCTGCTCTCCCTCCTTTCCGCCGTGTCACCCGCTGGCTCCGCTGCCTGCCAGCACGACTCGGTAATACACCTGCAATCCTGCTTATGGACGCCTGTTCTTGATTCAGTGCACACGCCATGCCCGGGAGCATCGCATCCGGAGCAGTTGCACGTTGCGGACTTCGCTCAGATAACTTAATCGCGCAGTCTGCCTTGTCCTCATCCTGCGGGATCTGAGCCTCTGGTATTTGTCTGTCACGCCGGCCATTACTCGTCTGCGGCCGGATGTACCCCAGGCCCTAGAGCTTCGATCTCAACGATTATATGCTACCTCACAGCAAGAAATCGCCTTGCACGACGCCACAGTTACCACCGATACAACCTTCGAACGGCAGTTGCTCTTCGGGAGGGGTGCCACTGTCACTGGCTCCTCTGCGATGTAACCATCAGGCAGCGATCGGCGTCTTTTCTCTCTGTGAGATCTGACTGCGCACTGTTCCATCTGCTTTTCCTACCCGTCAAGCCGCCAGCCAGCCCTCCAAGCCGAAATAGCCAGACATTCGAGGTGTCAGCAATTAGCCACCAAGATCTGCCAATCCTAACGTTAGTTACAGCTACCCAAGAAGAGACCGATTCTGTCATCAGCCACCCGCAGTTTTGTCAGTGACAAAATTTAGTCACCCCTCATCAAACCTGGTAGGGCCGACGACTCATAGGATGAATGGGTGACCACAACACCAACTGCTTAGCCAAACAGCAACCTTTGCGCAAGGAGAACCCCTCTCGAAGTCCTTACAACATGCGTTTTTGCTGTCACACCGGCCCGGTCCTTACAACATGCGTTTTTGCTGTCACACCGGCCCGGTCCTCAACACATCGTTGCTTCCCCCTTTTACCACCTGGATGGATTGACTCACCACTGCGGCACTTGGCAAACTGCCCTTGACCTAGAAACTCTAGTGACAGTCTGGCCGAGTCTCGAATGCTTGCACTAACCTGAGCCCTTTTTTCTTAACACGGTTGGGTTCATTCGCACCGAAAGGCGATCACTTCAACACAATACCAGAAAAGGAAGTTCCCTCCTGCTCCCTGACGAAACCCCGGGGTTATACACCGCTACTGTCGTCTTCCTACACATATCTATGACCCAGGGTTATAAACTGCGAGCGTTTTGAGCTATTGTTGAGACGCAGAACAAGTGACAGGCTTCGCCCAACATTTGAACGGTATTATAAGCCACCATCCCCGACAAACACATTTCACATCAGAGTCTGTGGGAGCCAAATAACTTATGCCGTTCGGTCAGCTGTTTTGGTAACATCGGAGATGAATACAACCCAACAGTGGTTCTGCAACACAGATTGATGCCCGCTCAGCGCGCGATCGCGCCTCGCACAGACCTGCACATATTTATTTGCCAGTGCAGAAACACCTGCAGGCCTACTCTGTACGAAGTAATAACGTAGCTCGTCTTCGGCTGGCCAATCAGTCCCGCATCCTTTCGACCCTGGGCCCTGGGGCATGGAGCAAGTTTGACTGACCATCGGTGGTGGAGATAGCAACCTCGCAGCATTTGCTAGCCAAAGATGGCAAGTGGCGTGCAGCGGAAGAAAGAAAGTTCCGAGACAGGCCGACGAGGGAGAAGGCTTGTCAACGGTTGGCGTTATGGGCGCGTAGCACTGTGCTGTGGCAGGCCCAATCACGAGTCATCATCGAGTCCGAAACAATGGAAGCTGGTTAGTCTGGAGATGCTATGTATACATGTCAATTTGGGTCTCACCTTTCCCCAAACTGAGCAGAACCCTCACAGTCTCGATCGGAGTATTCATGATTTCTACAAGGACTCTCACAAGCTTTCGTCTTCTTTCGCCTATCTTCAGGTTTGCAAGATAATTACTAGCCATGGCTCTGGACTGCTCTGGTGACCAGGAAAGGTTATGGGAATTATTGGCGAGAGGTATGTACACCTCATTACACTCCCCGTATCAGTGGCCTTTGGACTAAATAAACTAGCGAATTGTAAGACTTTGCCCAAAACATCCCAGCTGGCGTTGGTACTTGGTACGGACGGAGTAGGGGTATCACCACCACGTTTTAAGCATGACACTGCAGCTCCTTCTTCAGGTCCATATGTGCGAACCCGTCGGCTTTGGGATTGCCCTACAGGACCTTGTTTCTTGACCTGTGACTCTCCCGTCATTTACAGGACGGATTCACGCACTAATCAGAACATGGCTTGCTTGTGGCGCAAGCAACGGTGCGCGGGGGAACGGGGTCTAGTGGAAGAAGGGGGGTGTGAATTGTGACGATCACACACAAGCCACAGCGTGTCAACGTTGGGCGGAATGTGTCTCTTTTCGCCAGAGGAACTCGTGGTGTTCGTCTTTAATGAGAGTGCTCATCAGAAGCACGTCTCTTGCTCCGCCGCAACGTTTACTAAACCATACGCAAGCCGGGATGCTAGGCACGCTTGCTCCTCCCCTCCCACGACAGGCTTTGCGGCCTACCTAAGATAGGCAATTCCTTGAGGCCTAGCCTTTGGGCGGGCGGGGTGGTCCAAGTTCAGGACAAACTTGCTAGCCTGCAGACTTGACTTGCTGCAGGATGCAGCGTATCAACATGCTGTTAATAGCATGCTATAGGCTAATGGCGCACAATATGCCGGGCCACATTACCAAAAAGGATTCGCCATCAGTACTGAGTAGGTTATTTTTGCGACGGTTCGTGTTTGCTTCGCAGGGACAGTCGACACCAATCGACAGGGGCCTGCAAACCACAGACGAGCAAAGTGAGATGGTTCCGCTGCCTCAGTTCTCCCTCTCACTATCGTTTCGAGGTGCTGGAGCCGGGTCAACTTCCCGCGAGGTTTGGACGAGGGACTGAGTCGCTCGGCAGCTGGTGAGTAGGCACGCACGCACATATGCCCAGGCCGAGCTGCCTTTAAGATTTCCGACATCAACTCTGAGACACTGGAAAGCAATATGATCATTCATCTGTGATTTATCCATATATTGGTCTAATCAATGCACGACTGAACTCTACCGAGCCCCCGGGTTGTTTGCGTCGTGGCTACCCTACCAGCCAGAACGCTAAGACAGCACTAGATGGCAAACCTACCAGCTAGGACGATGAATGGTCGGTCGGTCAATCAGGGTCGGACACATTTCGGCCGGAACGCGCTCTAGGATTGCAGACCAGACATATATTTCAGTGACCAAGCACGCCTTCTTGATCTCCGTGACGGCGACGCTCTCACTACAGACTGGGAAAGGCAACTCCCCTCCACGCCCCAGCGATCAACGCACTGATAGCGGTCGCTTGTGATTGTCTTGCGCTGTACTGGAAACTTTATTGTCCCGATTGACATTGGGTTCTTCAGCAAGGAAGATGCTGGGTGGCGGGTCGCCAGCGCGGTGCTCAGTCTGTGTGTATGTGTGTATGTGTGTCTGTGCCAAGGCCATTACCAGACGCCCGAAGTCCGGAATCCTACAAATTCCAAACAAGATGAAAGTCTTTGCCAAGAGAAAGAAGCTTTCGCCCAAGACAAGGAAGATGAATGAGGCGAGGCGTAGCTGCGTAGCTGCCCATGGGCGTAACTTGTTGGTATATTCTACACACCCTATTTTGCATACCCAGCCAGTATGCCCTAGATGACCCGAGGCTCTCCTTTCAAACCGTACGGTTGTCCTGTCGTGTCTTGGTGCCAAGCTATGCGGGGTATCTGAAGCACGGTCATGGGCACTGACAGCCGACGAAGCTCGCCATCAGGGACGACTCAATGAAGGGGAACAAAGAAGTGGACTGGGAGCAGCAAAGAATATTGCACAATCTTGCAAAGAACCCCATGCAGCGAGGTGCAACGAGCGTCCGTCGTAGCCCTGCCAAGAATTTGCAACGACAACGGCCCTTCTTCCTCTTTCGCTGCCCCGAGGGCTTGGCAGTTCCAATATCATATCTCCAAGAAGATCCCGGTAGAGGATGGTACTTTTGGAGCGAAGGTGTATCAAAGGGGCCTAGGGTGCCTTTTGTTCATCTGTTCCGTCTGCTTCATTTCGGCGGTCAATGGTCGCCGAGACTTCTTTCTCAACAGGCGAACAAACAGGTAATGTATCTCACCGCTCAGAAACTATCAGAACGGGCGGGTACCCTGCACAATAGTAGAAAAGATACAAGTGGTTCGGTCTAGAGGGAACTATTGTCGATTACATTGTGGCCAGATGTAGAAGTCTCTAATGTGTGCTCTAGGCTCAGCGTTGCAAGGCGCAGGAACAGCGTAGCATCCAGTGGCAAGATACCTATCTGCGTACTGGGAGCGGGAATAACGGCCTATTGTCGTCGCAGCAGCGAGTTCTCACAGCCATCGAATCTTGAGCTTCCTCTTACGGAAGCACTCTAATGCTTTGTATCAGACGGAGAAGCCGACGCGATTAGCACATTACGAGGGCCTCCCTGGAGAAAAGCCCAGCGAGGAGGGATGGCCGGAGTGGCTGCGCGGACGACCCATCTATTGCTGAGAGATTACATTACAAGCAAAAGTATTCTCATCCTCAACTCTTACTCGCTGGAGACATTGTCCGGACTTGTGCTGAAGCACTCGTAAGACAGTTCGGCTAGTTGAACATGAGGCTGCCTGATTTATACGACAGGTACAGGCGACATGGTACGAGTACAGATATTACCAGACAGTAGAAACTACTTCTTCTTCTACTACACTCTAGTATTCTTGCGGCGATTTTCGGATGGTTGCAGTATTTACCCAACCCCCAAGCTTTTTCAATTTCACATCGTCCAGCGTCATCTGCAATCCCTATTTGGCAGCCTTGGTGCTAGGCTTTACAAGCAAGACAAGACGGAATGAAGCGTACATCTACTCTACGTCCCTGCGGCCGGTGCGCAAGGGGTTCGCTGGGCATTAGTTAGGTTTTGATACATGGGGGGCAGGTGTTTGGGATGATATGCAGCACTTCAGAATGACCTTGACACTGTCTAAGCATCAGCTGGATAGGGGGAAACAAGGGCGCACGTGGGATGGAAAGGATGATGGATTCAAACCAGGAAGGTCATTGATTCAGGCTCGACAGGCCCGTCGTTGTTCTATATCAAGGTGGAGTGACAAGGCTCGTCTTGCTGATGGTTGAGACACTTGGACGCGGTCAGTCACCGGTAGGGCTATGTACCACATTAAGTCGATGGTCTCTTTCGTCCCGTATGCGATGGTGGCTGGCTGCCGCATTCCCCCAGAGGCCCCGTCCTGGTCTACCTCGTGGCACGCTGGATTCTCCCAAGCCGGCATGCCACGAATCTTCTCTATTTTGGCACGGCGATGACCTCGGAAGAAGGGACACACAAAAAACGTGCCTCTTTGCGTCTGCGCCAACACGGGGCCCAATTACGTGCGTGGCTGGGGGGGCCTTCGGGCCACTTACACCACCACCCACCATGGGTTCGCGAGAACTCCTTCGTTAGGCAGCCTCCCCAGCCACCCCTCCTGGATTATTTCCCCCATGGCGATAGCAACTATATTGATATACGGTGTGAATAGGCGCATGAGAGAGAAATCAATGGTAAAAGGTTGTGGATGTGGCAAATAAGCTACTTGGCTACCTCTAGTTGGGGGAAAAAGTGTCAACTGAGACACGAGACTGATCCGACTAGTTCACCGAACCGGGCATGCCGCCTAGGTACGGTATTCAGTTGTGAGAGCCGTATCCACAGAGGATGTACTTTTTGTCGTCTAGTTTTTAAAACTATAGACGAGGACGCGGTCAAAGAAACTCGCGATAACTAAGGCATTCATCTACGGCGTGATGGGTTGCTGACGATGGGGTTTCTTCTTCTTTGGTTTGATGATGTTTCAATGCGGTACCACGGTATATAGCCAGGATCTTTTGTGTGTTGACCTTTTTTGGGGCGTTTTTGGCGAGGGTACACGACAGTTTTTGTCAAGCGCGCCCAGCGCGTGCCGACCTTTCTTTGTGACACAGCGTCGGACAGAATCGTATAGTGGCTGGTTTTTACAAGACTTGGTCTTTTCTGCGTCTCACCTCTTTCTACTCCGTAGTACTGCCCAGTCTAATGGAGAGAACTGGCCGGGAAGCGTGGACGCGATTTCAAGAAGCCATGTTTGGCTTTCATGCTGAGACCTTTCGCGGAAAGTGCTCCTAGCAACTTGGAGCAGATGAACTGGCTCTGTGTGCGGAGTTACTGCGCAGGTATAGGTTCTCCAAAATGACTACCTAGGCCAACTTATGCCCAGTCCCGAATCCGCGCGCGGCAGGTCATGAGCCGTTCCCTGAATACGGATGGCAAGTATATCTTGGCAGGTGGACTATGATGGCGAGTTGGTTTTATTTTTACTTTTTGCATTTCTGTGAGAGACGACATATACGACATATTGATCCTGCCCTACCCACCCAGATTCTCTGGACACTCTTAGCAACAAACTCTCTCGCCTGCTCACTTCGTTTTCCAGGCACCATTTCTTTCTAGCCTGGGTCGACGGCCCGAAAGAGTTCGGTTTAGGCTTGGGCGGGTGGCGCAGAGAAATAAGATGCGTGTCCCCCTGATCCTAATTAGACGCTTAGAACAGTTTGGGGGTGGAAAGTACAAGTACGTGCTTGGTGCGAATCGTGAACCCGAGTACGGTCGTCTGTCGTCGGGGGCCATGACGGGAATTAAAGATGAGAATAAACTTGGAATGCTGCCACTTTTGCAGCTCTGCCATGATCAAGGTCGGTGTAGATTGTGTTTTATACTGAATAAGTAATAACTACCTAGGTAGTCACAATGTTCCTCGGAGATGCATCCCACACACCCCGATGAAAGGTGTGGGCACTAGAGAAATACGCCGACTCGCTGTGTTGACGCTGGGCCTTGTCACTATCTGGTTCCATGACTCGGCCGGAATGTTGTCGTTGTCGATGGCTCTATTATTAACTAGTATGGAGAAGACCATCTTGATAGGAGTCAGCACAGTTTCCTCTGCCTTTGTACTTGGCACTTTCCTACCTGGTCGACTTTCGCTCCTTCTCACCCCCCCCCCCTCCCTTGGCGTCCCCTTTGCGTCTTTGGGGGGAGGCGAGACATTCAACATGGTCGGTCCACTCCCCAACCGTGGGAACCTTTGGGGGTCAATGTACAATTTGGGTTAACGAGTGAGGGGTAACTTTGCAACTGACTAGGTAACTACCTATCCTGTACCAGTAATCCGTACGGGTCAACAAGTTGATTCGACGCTGTACGTCGGACGTCGGCGCACACCTAGCCTGTAATAAGCACGGTCCAAAGTGGCGCGGTGGGCGTCGGAACGTACCATACGTATTGTTGGCTAGAGTATCCGTACTACGGGACGGTTTCTTCGTTATGTCCTTGGCTTGTTCCCGCATCTCAGTTTTCTACCTTTGTGACATCGCGCCGGTTTGTTCCGGGGGGGCAAGTGGCGCTGATGTTTTTTTTTTTTTTTAAATGATGCTGCGTTTAGCTGCCAGGCCAATCCCTGTTCCATTCTCTTGTTGCCCTGCAAAAAGATACTTGGTCCGCAGGTACAAGATGCTGGGATCCGCCGCTGCCCAGGGGATATTTTGGCGTCGCCTGCCCCCTGCCTATTTGTGCTAGAGACACGGCTATTAACTACTTGCCCATGGTATTAACTAGTTGACTTTACTAGTTGGCTTTTCCCCCCAGACCCCAGGTGCCCCCCCCCCCCAAGAATCCCTGTACCAGCCAGCCGGAGCAATAGCTCGATCCGGCCGCCGAAGCTGACCAGGGTGGTCGTCTTTGCACAACATGCAATTATGCAAATTCTCTGTATAATTCGGATTGGCCAGCTTCCGACGGTATATTGCTCATCGTATTCTCCAGCTTGACGGCATTCACACTATGAAATATGAAAATGCCCAGGATCCAGATGTTAGTCAAGTGCGACTTGAGTAATAAATAAAACATTCAAAGGACAAAAGAAGAAAGAAAAGCACCGTTCGATGAACCCTGGTCGTGGTTGCACTGGCGAAAGCCGAACTACGCTCCCTGCAGAAAATGCAACGCCCTCGACCTCTTGGAACTAGTTGGCAAAAAGCTATTGTCCCTCGTAGTTTTGCCCATGCATCTTTTTTAACTCGATAGGGCAACAAAAACGAAAAATGGCGCAGTTGGAAGCCAAAAGTCGATGTAGTGCAGACGACCCGGGCAAAAGGGTGGCGCGAGGAGTCTGTGGGAAATATGCGCTTCTACTACAGACGCCACTTGAATTTGAACGGGAATAGGGCAAAGGTAGACCTGGTACAAAGGCGCTGTTGGTACACTGTACAACAAGGGGAGCGCTCTTCTGGGTGCTGAAGAGCATACGTTTGTGGTTGCTGACTGACATGGAAGACACTGCAGCCTTTTTTTTTGGTTTCCTCACTCACTAGCACGACAAACTCGCTCCCCCGTGTCTGTATTGGAACTATTTCTCTCCTCCCGTCTTCTCGCTGCTTCCCCCCCTCCAGGAAACATCGCGGGCGAAGATGGAGCTAGGTTCCCGATCCTTTGCTGTAAGCCGACGTTCCCCGACCTACCCCCCCGTGTCTCGTAATAAGATGCGGTCAGAAATAAGCGAGGGCTGCAAAAAAAAAAGGACAAAAGTTCTGTCTTTTCTAACGGAGAGGGCAAAAAGAGAAAAATAGGCAGGGAATTATGACTGCGGGAGGGGGAGGGGGTGTGTGTGTGTGTGGTCGTGACCTTGGGCACATGGCCATGATGAACGCTTTCTGTACAGCTTTTTTTCCTTTTTTGTCTCATTGCCCCCTCTTGTCTCTCGTCTGCGATTTCTTTTTTGACTTTTCCTGGTGCTCCATAAGGTCACGCCCGCTGTCAAATGTCTGTAGCACCCCCGTGCAAGGCGATACGAGAGGCTCGTACGCTACGGAAGAGGGCTTCCAACGTCAAGCAGAAAGAGGCTATGTAGACACGGTTGTATTCTTGGACACACGAGGGTTGGAAGGGTGGGTTGCGGAGCGCTTGGCTCGCCTTCTTTTCGTACGGGTTTCCATTTGAAGCATCACGGGTTACCGAGAGAACGGATAAAGGGAGGGGGGGGGCAAATGTCCTGCTCTGCGTGAGGCCGCCGCGCTCTCCTCGTAGCTTGTATCCGTAGATTGACACCTAGATTCTGCTTCTGCTTCCCCAGGTGCATGACCGTTGTACCGAGTACACGCAAGACTGTAAATCCCTCCCGCTCGCGAAAGTGAACCCCCTCCCCCTCCACCCCCTCCCAAATCCCTGTTTCGTTCACCATGCACGCACGCCAGGACCCTTACACGAGTATTGCAGAGTCACTCTGTTTTTGTTTTTTTTTCTTCTTTTCCTCCCGCGATACTGTGTAACATGATGCCTCTCATCTGGCAGATGAGTCATGCAACGTTTTGGGCGCACGTTGCGCGCATTGTGCCTAAAAATGATACCCTCCTTCCCCAAAGCCTCAAAAGACGTGCAGAAATCATGGGCTCAAATATCCACAAATCAGCAACCAAAGCTATAAAAAGGTAGAAATTACGCACACTACTCGAGGGCGTCTTTCTTGGCTGCCATTTCTCGCCTTCTTGTCCTCCAGGTCTTGCGTGTTGCATGGCCACACCCCGTGAGCCGCCGCAACCTCAAGAGTCGAGGAATCGTCATGTCGGAGAGTCAGTGTGGTTCGTCTATATAGTAAGTGGCTTACGGGAGTGGCTGTGGTTCTGGCTGCCAGACACGAGCTGAATGAGCGTTGGTGGTGGCGTCTTTGCCAATCGTATTATGAATTTGAGAAGGAATATGTCATGACCAATCCCTGGGCGTCTGTACTTGGCTACGCTATTCACAGAGGCAACTTGATAGCGATATCGTCACATACCCAATTTCACCTATTGTTGAGATGGAATTGCTTCGTCGCGTGTGCTTTGTTGTCACAAATACGCCACATTGTGTATTGTAGTGAAACCTATGTCGCCATTCCGTCGTCTAGAATAAAGCTATGCCTCTTGCCAGGACGTTTTCATGTGTTATATTTACTTTTGCATTTCATCGCATCATAAAGCCAAAGTCCTCATCGTCCGAGTCACCTTGCATGTCGTCTTCCGCATCCTCCAGCGCCATCTCCACAAACCGGCGCACCCACGCCTGCTGCTCCGGGTTGAGCTGCGCCATCATCTCCCGCTCTGCTTCCTCCTGCTGCTCTTGCTGCCGCCGGTTCTCGAGCGCCTGCTGCTGTCTCGCCCGGCCCGCGTCGTGCTGCTGCTGCCGTCCACGTTCTGGGCCGGCCGCGCCTCGTCCTCGACCTCGACCTCGTGCCGCCGCCGCCGCCGCGCCTCCGCGGGCACCACCTCCTCGCTGGGCTCTATAATTCTGACCGCCGCCGCCACGACCGCCGCCGCCGCCACGTCGGCCATCCCCCGGACCGGGCGCAGCATCCGCCGGCTCGTGCCTTGGTGGCCGTCCCGCCTGGTCATCCATGACTCGCAGAACGAGCGGCGCTTCTCGCGCAACAGCGGGTCTTCTTTCTTGAGGCGCCAGCTCTTCCGGTGGGGGGTTGCCATTGGCTCCATTCTCGCCGAGGACAGATTCCTCGCCATCGCTTTCTTCCTCATCGGGGGGTACAACGAGCATCTCCTCCTCGACCGGTGCGGGCACAGCGTCCAGGGCGAGCTGCCCGCCGCCAAACCCAAGTCCGACGTCGTCGCCATCGCCGCCTTCCAGCTCCCAGAGGCGCATGTAACACGACGTCACCTTGCCGTCGGGCTGCATGTTGTAGTGCTTGTACGGGTTGCTCGGATCGAGCCAGGCGGAGCAGAGGTAGCAAAAGTGCGTGTCGCAGCGCGAGCAAATCATGTGGTTGCAGCCATGCGTCTTTTGCGCCGGGGCCGAGCACGTCGGACACGGCGAGGTGTGTAGTTCCACGTAGGCTATCGAGGCCTTTTCCTCATCCGTGAGCTCCTGCCTCGTTTTCTTACCCGCACAGCGGACAAACTCGCCGTGCCATGACTGGAGACATCGGCTGCAAAACGCGAAGCCGCAGTCGTCGCAGACAGACAACAAGTCGGCAGGGTTGAACTTGGCCTTGGCAGTGGCCTTTTTCGTCGTTTGTGTGCCGTCTTCCACCTCTGTATCTTCGTCGTCGTCATCTTGGTCGGAAACGTCAACGAGTTCGAGGCCCTGCGGCTTCTTGTGCTTCTTGGAGCGGGCGGCGCCATTGCACCACTGTCGCGGGCAGTAGATGGTGTTTTTGTCAGATTCCAGCTCCGTTTTGTACTTGAGCGTAACAAATCTCTTGACCAGCTCTTCTGTGAGGCCAATCTGAAGCAACTCGCTCGGGCTGATGAACGTCTTTGGCTTCTTGAGTTGACGGCTGGCTGTCTCCCCAAGGCTTTTAGAGCCTCGCTCTTTGGCGCAGTTTGGCGCCAGACACCGCACCGTTAAGAGCTCGCCGCTTTGGATGGCATTGCCATAAAAGTCACAGAGACACTTAACGCAAAATATGTGACCGCAGTCCATCATCTTGTGGCAGCTCGAGCCCTTTTTCGGATCTGCATCCAATCATCAGTGCAAGTCCACAAGAGTGGGCTCTTTTTCATTTCAAACGTACCCAGACAGACGCCACATTCAAAGGTTTCCCTTTCAAACGCTGCTTTTTTGGCCTTGATGTCGTAATCCAGCACGGCGAGCTTGTGCTCCGCGTCCACGGCGAGGGTGCCGTCCATCGCAATCGTGCCAAACACGTCATCCGCACCGTGCTGCACGTGGTCAATGTACGTGTATGCGACCATGTCGCGGCCCATGTCCTCCCAGAGCCGCGGCGCGTCCATCTCGAGCCGAGCGAGTGTCTCGTTGCTCAACCACGGCGGCGTCGTCGTCAGCGTGACGCGTGGCGGGCACGACTCCGGGTAGCCATCAGGCAGGCTGATACGTATCGAGATGGGTGGGAGATGCGATACTTGCAGCGAGTCGAGAGGCGGCGGTGGCGGCTGGTCATGCTGCGGTGCGTGAACCTCACCCACGGCTGCGTTTCCAGCCGGCGGAAAGGTGACGGTCAACGGCGCGGCCAGCTCGACGGGAATTTCCAGTTCAAAAGTAAACGGCGAGGTGGCGCCTGGGGGCTTGCGCAGCTCAGGGAAAATGGCCTCGAGCGTCTCCAGCTCCGTGCGACGCAGTTCGTCGCTGTCATCGATGGGATCCATGGTAGTGTTTGCTGCGCGTCTGCCTCATTATTATTATTCGGGTCTCGGGTCCTTGCAGTATCACAGTTCCATCTAATTATAAAGCCTGGCTCTCGTGTACGCCTGGAAAGGCAAAACCCGGTCACCTAGTGCTGGTGAGAATGTCGCACGCAAGGGTGGCGGTTTAGTTAGGTGGTGGGCAATATTTGTGCAATGTGGCAACAGGTCTTGATAGCGTGAGGAGCCAGCTGTGTGATGAACGAGGGATCTGGTTCCCGGTCAGTGGTCGGTAATGATATTCAACTGGACAGCATAGAGAGAAAAGGAGGAAGAAGATGAATTCCGCCACTCCGGTTTGGCGTATTGATTGGCTGGCTTTGTCCAAGGCGCTGTGATGCACCATCAGCCAGCCCACTATCTTTACCCCCACAACCGCCTGGTGTTTGCATCACCACCATCCGCCATCAATCAGCCAACACCTCTGGCGTTTGCTCTGATTCATTTGTTTTTCGCGCGTCATTGCGGTGTTTTCAGTCCGGCTTGCGCATTTACAGGCACAGCATGCGATAAATCTACAGGAAATCCGACGCATTCACAACACTCCATCCTCTCCGCTCCCCCTCGCCATCATGGGCTACAACGAAGCCGCCGCCGCCGCGCCATTGGCATCGCTCTCCATCACGCACGTCTTCTATGTGAGTCTCGTTACTCCCCGCTCGCCGCGAAACCCCTTTTCTCTTCCCTGTCTGACCCGTTCCCCTGCGCCAGGACCCCAACGACCGCATCTCCCTCCTCTGCGCCTACCTCGCCCTCCTCCCCCAGGCCCTCGGCGTCGTCTACCTCACCCTCATCTTCGCGTCGCGCGAGGTCGAGATTGCCCTGCTCTTCGCCGGCCAGCTCGCCTGCGAGGCCCTCAACTTTTTCCTCAAGCGCCTCATCAAGGAGGAGCGTCCGCGCCAGATCCACGGCAAGGGCTACGGCATGCCCAGCTCCCACGCCCAGTTTGTCTTTTTCTGGAGCGTCGCCCTCACCCTCGTCCTCCTCGTGCGCCACCGACCGACGACGCTCAACGGCTCGAAACCCACCAACAGCAGGATCGTCGAGCGCCTCGCCGTCAGCGCCGCCAGCCTGGCGCTGGCCGCCGCCACGGCCTGGAGCCGCATCTACCTCAACTACCACACCCCCAAGCAGGTTCTCATTGGCAGCTCCGTCGGCGCGCTGACGGCCGTTGCGTGGTTCGTCTTGACGGCGGCGCTGCGCAGCTCGGGCCTGCTGGCGTGGGCGCTGGACCTGCCCCTCGTGCGTGCGTTTCGAGTCAGGGACCTGGTGGTAGAAGAGGACCTCAGCGAGGCCGGTTGGGACCGGTGGGAGGCGCGAAGATTGGCCAGGAAGAACAAGAGCAAAGGTCCCAAGGCTCATTAACGGCATATACGTCCAAAAGGCGAGACTCTGCCTCCCCGTCAGAGGATTCTACGGCAAATTTGACGTTTGTCTCACGACATTGCATTGTCACGACATCACACTGTCACGACATCATATTGCTGCTGCATTACGTTGCTGATTCACGTAAATATACCCCCCATGTACAGTAGCAAATCAACCGTGTTTTCTAAAAATCCGAAGCTGATATAGAACAAAGAAAGTAAATATACATCATGTAATCATGAAAACGCTAAGAAAAGAGCAAAATAGGGAGGGATGCCTCCCGAGTGCAGCCGGCTCATATTCCCGTCTATGAAAAACAAGAGAATACAGTGTAATACATGTCTCACAGACTCCCTAGTCCTTCTCGTTCAAATCCATTCCGAGGGACGCTTCTCCTTGCCCGTGCCTTCCCACGGCGACGGATCCTTGTCCGACGGACTCGTCACGGTGACGCTGTTTCCCGGACCGTCGGGGCTGTACGCCATCGGGCTGAGCAGCATCCGGCTCTCGCGCTCCTTGCCCTTGCCCTTGCGGTCCTTTTTGGCAGGCTGCAGCGGCGCCGGCGGCAGCGCCTTGCTCGGGTCGACCCAGACGGTGCTGCCAATGAGCACCGAGGTGCGTGGGGAGACGGGAGAGTCGTCGCCCAGCGGCCTAGGCGCCGCCGCCGCCGCCGCCGCCGCTGCGGGCCCCCACATCATGGATTTGGGGTAGATGGACGACGTCGGCCGCGGCGTGGGCATGCGCTCCTCCAGGTACGACGGCGGGCCGCCACCCGCGCGGGACATGTCGTTGACGTTGGAGAGACGCAGGCCAATCTGCACCGTGGCCGAGGACCCCATGGAGGAGTCGCGCTGGTGGCTCGGCACGAAACCGGGCTTGGGCGGCAGCAGGCTGGAAATGTCTCTCCGGATAATGTCAATCTCCATGGCCTTGATGTCGTCGTCGTTCACCTCGGCGCTCTGGCCCCGCGTCGCCAGCATCGGCGGCGTGTAGGTGGCCGCCGGCGGGATGGACAGCGGCTTGGGGTTGAGCGCCGGCGCCTGCTGCAGCAGCGGCTGCGGCTGCGGCTGCGGGAACACGCTGTACGAGGCCTTGCGCGTGTGCATCCGCCGCGGGGAGCCGCCAAAATTTTGCTGCGAGGCGGTGGCGCTCGACGTCTGCGCCAGGCCAATCTGGCTCTCGGCGATGAAGCTCTCGGCGTCGGTGTCGCCCGGCGAGTTGGGCCGGTAGACGCGCGGTGGCGGCGAGACGGGCTGTTCGATTTGGTTGGCGTACGTCTCTGTCATGGGTGATTTGCGGATTTGCCGCTTCCTCGAGCGCTGCTGCTGCTTCTCGCGGTCTAGCATCTCGAGGTAGCCCTTGCGGCCAATGTTGCTGCGCTGGCAGGTACGCAGGAACAAGTAGAGGCCACCATTGGTCAGGCCGGTCAGGTTGGTGGCCACCATGGCAGCCATGGCGAGGTTGCCACGCAGCTGCGTAACATCCATGTCGTTGCGCAGAGTAAGACTGGCGAAAAACGGCACAACGATGCTCTGTCCAGGGTGTTAGTCTTGATGTTTGGGGGTGCCAGGGGTGGATGGCCGATGGGACTTGCATTCGTGATGGCGCCAGTGCACATGTAGTAGACCATGCGTGAGGCGGCAATTCGCTCAATGACACTGCCTGATGTGCTCCGATGGAGTCTGATGAGCGTGATGGCACTGCCGAGCAGCAGACTGCCAGATATGGCGGTAAAGAGGGCAAAGCACTCGACGCGATATCTCTGCACGAACCAGAAGAGCGAGGCGAAGCAAAAGTTGGGCGGCTGCACCACCTGAGTGACGCCATATGTGATGGCGAGAGAGACGGCAACGAGGGCTACGCAGACAGAGACTGTCCACTTGCCGAAGCTGTCGAATGCGCGTCGCCGAAAGGCGCGCAGAGTCGTCTCCATGCCAAAGACGAACTGTATATATGGGACAATAAATATGGCTATGGAAATTAGCAACTTGCTTTCAGAGCTCATTGCAGACAGGGCGAGATACTCACTCGGAAACATGACCTGTGAAATAGGCAGGCAGCCAAGGATCAGCAGTCCTTCCATGCCCTTGGACTGCTCAACGGCGGTAATAATGCCTTGGATAATAATTCCAATAGCCAGAATAAAGGGGAAAATATGCATGGGCCCTATGATTTTATACATTGATGTCCTGAAAAATTGTTAGAGTCTCGATCTTTTCATTCCATTTGTTCATCACTGTTCGTACCGGAATTTCATCTGGGGATCAGCCCTCTTGGCACCCACGTAGCAGTCCCAAAAGATGCCCACCGCTACGATGAAGCCAACCACGGCATTGAAGCTAGCGAGAATAATGGTCGACTGTCGTATCGTCTTGGAGCTGGCGAATCGCAACTCGTTGATGACTGCGTTTGTCGAGTTGGCTTGGAACTGGAATCCGGTCCAGTCTGTAGTGAAGGTTCCATCCCCAATGATTCCCTCCGCGGCCGCCCGGATATCGAATACATGAGGTTTGCTGCCGGTCATATTCCTCGTATTTTTGGGGGCGTTTTTTAAAAAGTAATTCGCAAACTAAATCAAAGATTTGTCCTCGTGTGTTGGACTTGGCGACTTGAAAGCACTGTAGTGCAAGAGAGCACGCTGGCTTGGCCAGATGTCTACTCGGTATGGGCCGACATCTAGTTTCCGCTGCTTTCTGCCGGCGCCGCAAGCTGTGAGCCTCTGTTGCTAGTTCTGCTGTTACTGTCGCTGCTGCTGTTGGCTGCTGGTGATGTTGGTACGTTGGTGGTGCTGTCGCGTTTACGAACTCGACAATCGATGAACAGATATAGCGACAATGGTTCGAACGGTTTCTTCTAACGTGTAGATAAGAGAGTGAGACTTTGGGGAGACGGAAACAAACAGGCAGAAATAGACAAGAGTTGACAAAACGTGACAAGAGACAACCCTTGAATCAGGGATACGCGGGGATCAAGTCGCCTACTGCATAGATGGGAGGTCCACCGCGCATAAACGGCAACCCAGGCTCTCAGGGTATGGACTCTTCTTGGCCTTTTTCTCGCCTCAAACGGCAAAAGAAATCTTTATCCGGCATCTGTAGCAACCGGGCATACAAGCCTCCTTGCCTCCCCAAACACACCAAGGCAGCCTACGTCGCTACTCCCCCCTCCCTCCCCCTCCGCCACAGCCATGATGGAGGGAACCAACCCAGAGCTTATTTTCCTGCTTTTTTGTGCCCTTTCCACTGTAGTGATGCATGGGCCCGCATGATATTCGGCCTCTCCTTGTATGCAAGGCTCAGGAAAGGGCCGGAACTTTTCTGGGGGAATTCAAGAAACAGCACGAGTCACGAAAGGTTGGAGCCCAGCAGGTTTATCGAGCCCCTCGACTCCATCGTCATACGGCAAGTGACGCAGACAGCGTTCTTTACAGCGACAAGTAGTATAGATCAAATCGCCGACGAGGAGGCTGTTGGAAATTCCTTCTTTTCTTTTGTGAAAAAATGAACAGGACTACTGGTGGCTTTCGATGCCCTGCATCCAAGCCACACAGTAATAAGGCGACGTGATATAGCGGCGCTTGGCTGCGCCATTTCCACACGGCGAGCCACCTGCCACCACGCATGAATGACGGTTCATTTCCTGCTTCTGGGATTTCTCCAGAGATGGGCGCGGCAAGTCCGATAATTTTTTTTTTGGAATAGCAATTGCTGGTGAGAGGTAAAGTGGGTGGCGGCAAGTATGAAGCATCGATGCTACACTCTACAGTTTCGGGTAATGGTCCCTGGCGATTCGGTTTGAGGTTGGAGATGGTGGCGCGCGCTAACACGGGATTGGTCAATTTGACTTGATGCCTGGATTGCGGAATTCCATTTCAAGACTGGCCAGATTCCTTGGACTTTGAAGGAAGGACAGGCCAAGCGGTGGGTGCGAGGCAGTGCAGCCAAGTAGACGGGTCCCATCGCCAGGTTCGCGGATCGAGCGTGGCATGGCGCATGGCAGCGTGCAGCGTGCAGAGGCTATATCGGCGACGGCATCGTCAGGTGCTGCGGTGCATCGGCTGAGTTGACAAGAGTGAGTCGAGTAGGCGAATGCGTGCCTCGTCAAGCGTCTTTGACGGTAGCTGGCTACATAGGCTGAAGCAGACAGTCCAGCATCAAAGACGCTGTCTTCCTGTCAACCAACAAGCCAACCAACCATCTTGCCTAACAACCACCTTCATCCTGCCGCACTATCGTTTCCGCTAGCCAACTGTTCGAAGGGGAAGATCCGTGCGCGAGCGCACTACGATTAGCAGCGATGAGGCACTGCGGGTATCACCTAGTGGCCGCTGGCTGTCATAGCGGTTCTGGGGTAGGCCAGTTTGCATGGCTGGAGGGCGTCAGGCATCTTTTGCTGAGAGGGAAGACGGAATCGAAATGGTATTCCTCGCCATGTTTGAGATGTCGTGCATGAACTGTAGAGCGAGTAGCCATCTTGGCTTCCAGAACAACTCAAATCAATACGGTCCAAGTAGTCATGCACTGGCTACCCGTGGTATGCGGGAGTGCTCCAACGCGCGATAGCATGCTGTTGATGAATGTTTTGTCCGTTCGAACAAGTGTGAAATGCCTCAAGATGCTTCAGTTCGCCGAGCATTGGTGCAGAGGCCAAGGCGCCCGCCTGAGAGCCAATCAGTCGGGCATCTTGAGAGTATCGTGGGCGAGAATAATGCACCCTGGGCCTATGGATGGCATGATTCAATGCCGCAAACAAAGGCGCAGGATATTCACTTGGGGGGGATTCATATCTTCACAAGAAAAACATGCCATACTGGGCCAGACGGGAAAATGGCATCATCAATGAGCACAGAAACGCGCCTCCCCTCTCCCAACTACTCTCTAGGCAGCCAGAACGCCTGTTTTCCACGCACATGAGCAAATCAAAGTTTCCCAGCCGCCGTCATGGATTCCTGCTCAATGATGGAAGCGGACATGATAGTCCTACAAACCGGAGCCAAGGTTCCGGCGTCATCGCGATGGTGCAGCGTCATGGTGGCTTGCTCATGATGAAGGTGAGGTAGCTGATACGTCATGAACCGGCTCAACAGGCGAGTAGAAAGCCGAAGCAGCAAACGGGTGTGGATTCTGTGCCACACTGTGGCGTCACTCCCCGCCAAAACCGTCGCTCGCACTGTGGCTTGTGCCACATCAAAGATGCAGCTTGTCCCAAGACGACGAGGTTAAAAAAAGATGCCGACGCAATATCGACATATCGTCTGGGCATTGGCTAGGACGTGCATATTCTGTGGATATTGCGAGCTTCTTTTTGCCTTGCCCCTGCTGCTCGGCCGCCACCTTTTCAGATCTTTGTGCTTCGCGAGAATTCAGATGACGTCAGGACTCTGGCGTTTGTAGCTCCAGCTCATCCGTTTGACGGACAGGAACGTCCAGTCACGAGCATCACAAGCAAGAAGCAATGGCCAAAAGACACGTACATACGTAATTCCAAGTGAGGGGTAGATCAACACGGACCCTGTCGCTTTGTATTCAGCCCACTTGCCATTTTGATCCGTCTATATAAATCCCACGTCTGCGCTCCAGATCCCAACTCTTCTTCTTCCCATCACCAAACTACACTCTTCATACAAACACCACCTCAAACACTCAAAGACAACCTTCAAACAACCACTTCACAATGGATTCCATCAAGCAGGGCGCCAACTACGTCTCCGAGCAGGTCCAGAAGGCCACTTCCGGCACCAGCAAGGAAGCCAACAAGGAGGTTGCCAAGGACAGCAACGCCAACGTCGGCACTCGGTAAGGAGTTCACGCCATCAACACATCATGATCGACTGCTAACACTTGCTCCCAGTCTCAGCGCTGCCAAGGACGCCGTCGGCGACAAGGTCAACGAGTCCGGCCACGATGCCAAGGCTGAGGCTCACAAGCAGCAAATCTAAGCCGACTCTCGACACATGGGAGGAGATTGATGAGAATGGATTTTTCTCGATTGCTATAGAAATATGAATACCCTACCTTAGTCCCAAAGACAAGTTATTTTCGCAACTGTCCCACATCAAAGTGATATCGTTCCCGGCGGCCGCACGCCGTTGCACTTCATACTCTCAACTGCTAGAACCCTTCCGGAAGCAGTACCGCGGAACAACCAACTTAAACCGCGGCTATGGCTCTCACCTACTGGCCTTTCTTCGATGCCCGAACGGCAAAGGCGTGGGAGATGTCATTGTACGAGTACCACATCGCATACAGCGGGATGAAAACCCACAGCATGTTGAAGAAGACGAGGTACACCCACATGTACATGAAGTTGCTACCATCCAGGTTCAGATTGCCGATAAGCCACTCAGGGCAGAATGTCATGAAGCCTAGACAGCCCAAGTTAGCTCAACCAAATTTCTCATCACCGCCGCCATCACAAAAAGACCAGCCACAGGCAGACCACGTACCACCGTACAGCTCGCACGTCGCCAGCACAATCATCCAGAAGCTCGCCTTGGGGTCCCTCTTGGCAATCAGCCACGCAACGTACAGCGCGACCGGCCCGTCAAAGAAGACGGTCAGCAGCTCCAGGCTGATGACGCCGAGGTCCGCGCCGCCCCAGCGCCTGTCCGCGCGCGCGTACACCATCCAGAGCTGCGCAAACGGGTTGCTGCCGCCTGCCTGCGGCCCGTAGACGCGCGTCGCGCCGTGCCCGAGAAAGTTGTGCGGCGACGCCACGAGCCCCGCCGCCGCCGCGTCCGCCTCGACATACGAGAAGAAGCAGTGGTACAGGAAGCTGCCCTCGAGCACAAAGTGGCACAGCGCGTCGGCCAGGTGCCAGATGAAGAGGAAGCGCAGCGAGGCCGGCGTCCCAGTACCGGTGGGAAGGGCCCGCCGCGAGACGGCGTAGGCGACGAGGACGATGCTGGCGGCGGCGGCCAGCGACACCAGCGTCGTGGTGTCGAACAGGTCCGGCGGCAGCGAGGAGGCGGCGGCGGACGAGCTCATGGTCGGGAAGAAGTCACTGGGTTGGGAGGAGGGTTGGATGGGCACGCAAAGGAAGTTGACTTGGTTGGGAACGGAACTCTGATGGAGAATAATCAGATCCAGGGGCTTCGATCATCTCGTTCCGGGGGCGCTAGCGGGGGTTAGCATCACGGGGGGGGGGTCATTTTCCGAAGCGCAGAACGAGTATCACCACAAGAAGCATTACATTATATTGTCATGGAGCGGTCGGGAGGGAACAAGTAGACGAGCTATATTAAAAAAGCTCTATATAGTGCATTTGTCAGACCACTTTTGACCTTTTTGGCGCCATGCACTCCAGGCGCCAGGATTGAAATTGCACTTTCGAAAAGCATGTATATGAATATATTCACTATTCATACTTGAAAAATCATGCTGTATTTAAAATATTATTTTCCCTCGACCAAGGTCCAGAGCCCCCCATCTATGTTCAAAACAACGCCAGCCTCGAAAAGCACTTCACTTATCCCACTCCTTGAACTCTTTTTGCTTCTGCCGCGTATTCCACCCCAGCTTGCCGCTGATGCTGTTGACCCAGTCCTCGCTCCGTCGTCCCTCCGTCTGCACCGACGCAAACGGGTAGCGGCTCGCGCTGATGGTGACGTAGTCGCCGGGCTCGAGCTCGACGCGCTCGCGGCCGTCAAAGCTGGCCCACGACGACGTCCGCGCCGCGTAAGGCACGCCGACGCGCAGCACAATCGTGTCGGGCAGGATGATGGGCCGGAAGGAGAGGGTGTGCGCGCACACCGACGTCACGAGCATCACGGGGTTCTCGGGGTGGCACAGCGAGCCGCCGGCCGCCAGGTTGTACGCCGTCGAGCCCGTCGGCGTCGACACGCAGATGCCGTCGGCGAGGATCGAGGTAAAGTGCTCGTCGTCGCCAAAGAGCTCCGTAGACGACATCGCTGCGGGGCTGTTAGCTCTGCTATATCAATTCCGCGGAAACGGCAACACATACTTGGGTTCGGCCCGCGGTCGACAACCACTTCGTTGAGAATCTCATACGTTCCGTCAGGTCGGTGCGTGTGGGCATCCTCCCTCTCCTCGCCGATGAGTTCCTCGACGAGATCCCGCTTCTTGTGCTTCTCATCCTCGTCCTCCTCCTCGCTCGTGGTACCGCTCTGGCCACTATTCACACCGTCGACCTCTTTGGGCACAGTCTTCTTGCGCCGTATGCTGCGCATAACAGTGCTTTCGAACCGCAGCCGCAAGCTGACGGTGACGCCCTTGGTAAACGCCGAGGTGAGCGTCGGCGCATACTCTTCAAAGTCAAACTTTGTCAAGAAGCCGAGGCTGCCGAGCGCAAAGCTGAGCACCGGTGGAACGATGCGCTGGAACAGCCAGCTCGCGTACAGAACGGTGCCGTCACCACCGAGCGTAATGACAAAGTCGAAAATGTGCGGCCGTGTGCGACACATATCCTCGTCCCAGGGGCGCAGGCGCTTCTTGACATCTTCATGCGCTCGGTCCCAGTCCAGGCTAGGATCTTCTGTCATGTTTCTCTTGCAAATATCGTGGAGGAGGCCGTCGACGTTGAACTTTTTGCTATCCCGCAACTTGTCCTGAATGTATACGACGTACTTGACATTGCGGTCCAGGCTCAGCAGCCACGAGGCCAGCTCCTTTGCGTGGGGAATCAGGTCCTGGTCGTGCAGCTTGGTCAGGATGAGGATGGACTTGACACGCACCCGGATGCGCATGCTGCTAAGCCGCCGACTCAGCTCGCGCACGCCCCAGGCCATGTCACTGAGCTGCTTCTTGGTGAGCATGCGCGACGGGGCTTCGCGGGGGCCGGGAATCGTATTTTGGTGGTGCTGCTGCTGCATGGCGAGAAAGTCGACCTCGGACGCGCTCCGCATCATCTCGCGCGTCCAGTCCTGCTGGTCCGACTGGCCGAAGTCGCCGCTGTCGAGACTCGAGAGATCGACGACAGCGCGTGAGTTGCGCCGTGCCGTGCTGTGCGTGCTGGGCGCGGCCGGCGACACGCTGCTGCTCGCCGCCGGCGCTGGCGCTGGCGCAAGCAGCGACCCGTCAATCTGAGAGCTGGCGCCGCCGAGGACGGGATGCGCCTGGTATGATTTCGCTGGCGGCGGTTCGTTGCCGTGGCGCTGGCTCTCAAGGTACTGCTGTACCATGCCTGGTCTGCGCTGCACAGCAATGGTCGCGCGTGGCGGATGCTCGGACGACACGAGAGATGATTTTCGGCGATAGGGGTTCGATGGATCAAAAACAACCTGCAGTAGACCCAGCGTGAGAAACATTAGCATCGCAATTGCACGCATCGCCACGCTACTGGTCTCCATCAGGAGGCCTCACGCAACGGAAATAGGGCAGGCACGAACCTCTACCGCCTTGCATTCCTCGTCGCTGCCATCAGAGCAATCATCAAATACTGTGTCGTGCTTCTTATCTGTCGGCTGTGGCCTTTTATCCTCGTTCGGCGCCTTGTCCGCGTCCATCCTGCTTGGATCCGGGACGGGTGGCAATCGCTCTTAGAAGCTGCGCGCAGTCGCTCAGTATTTATCTTGGAAAGGGATATCACAATCGCGCGTTTCTTTCTGGTGCCGGGTTTCTCTTCGCAGTGGAAGATCAGGAGGCTTGTTGGTAGGGAAGGGTTGACTGTGAACTCGAAATCTGTAGCTTGCCAGGTGGTCGTGTTGAACCCCACCAGAAGGCCTTGAGCTTATGATAACGTGGGGTATTCGGCGCGGCTTGTGAAATGATTGACTGCGGAAAATTGGAAACCAATGGCGGAATAGGATACAGATGGACTTTTATGTTTGCTCAAGACGGCCTTGTCTATTAGCATTGCGTCCATTATCCCGGGTAGCGTGCGTTTATGTTGACCAACGGTTTGCCCCGTGCCGTGTTGTGGTTATCCTGGGTCGACGAGCAAGGCTCGATTGTGTATGCGGCACACTTCGACGAGACGCTGTTCGAGCTGAGTAGGGCTCGTTCACTCTATCTCACTCTGCTCATCCTGCAGTTATACCCAAGTTATCGAGTCGTCGACCACACACCCGATACTCCGCGGTTCGCGTTGGAAGGAACATCCCGGGTAGGTGACGTCACCAGGTTAGCATCGCCAGTGACACTTTCATAAAAAGTTCCCTGAGAACATATACATACGAGAGCAGTATCCAGATGTCCATGTCTATGTCTGCTATGAGTTTTTGTAAAGTAGGATTGCGCAGCTCTTGATGCCATCCATTACCAAGCACACTGGTGGGCACAGAGTTTACTGGACCCGAGTTCGGCCTGGGCTTCTTGAAAACACGCGGCCCGACAACTTCGGTCCTCGTACCAACAGCAGCAAGCCAGCGAAACAGACTGAGCGCATATCGATGCGGCAAATATGGACATTATCATGGTAGGCGCCTGCTACCTAGACACCATACTAACGTAAGATATTTCCTCCCCGAAAGGACTCAAATCCAAGACGCTGATCTCCTGTTTGCACCTCAGCGTACCACACTACCCCGAGGAGGACAGAAAGCTGCGTGCATCCAACCTGGAAATAAGACGCGGCGGCAACTGTGCCAACTCACTCGAGGTGCTTCAGCAGCTGATTGTGCGCCGTGGCGAGGACCAAGATACCCTGGACCTCTCGTCGACAGCCGAGGAGACGAAGAACCACCTACATCTCGTGTCATGTTTACCGAATCGAGACAGCCCAGCAGCCCAGCAGGTGATACGGTCGTTTGGAAGTGCGACGCCCGTCAGCTTCCGGCACTGCATCTACCGCGAGGAAGCCGCAGAGGCGGCGAGCAGCTACATCATACGGAGCAAGGAGACGGGTAGCCGAACGTTGGTCAACTACAACGCGCTCGACGAAATGACAGTTGCAGAATTCGAGGCCATTGCTCGTAATTTCAAACCCGAGAGCAGATCCTGGTGGCACTTTGAGGTAAGCGACACCATGCGTCCAAGGGAGAGAGGCAACGAATACCTCCATCCTAGTGCCATATGAAAAGTCTCGGGACCGGAATAGCCCGTTCTGACGTCCTACAAATAGGGTCGCATACCGGACACCACACTCGAATGCATGAGGATTTTGCGGCGCGTCCTGCCTGGATCAAAAATCAGCGTCGAAGTCGAGAAACCTGGTAGAGAAGGCCTGCGCGAGCTGGCCGCCGAGGCAGATGTTGTCTTTTACTCCAAGGCGTGGGCAGAGGTATGTTGAGAGGAAACAAGCAATTACACAGCAGAGGCCCCTAATTCGACTTGATCCAGGACAGCGGGTATGATTCCGCAATGGCCTGTCTCACGACTGAGCCCAGAGGACAAGCGTGCGTTCCGTGTTTCCTTTTTATTTTCCTTTGAACCCCCTGGGGAAGCAGAAGCAGCCTTTTACAAATCTAACTATGTGGTTCATTAATAGATCCCTGACCCTGTGCCCTTGGGCAGCTGGGGGCGCCTATGCACTGTCTCACTTATCCGGGGACCAGATTCACTGTCCTGTCGAGCAACAGCCAGACGAAATTGCCGTGGTCGAGTATGTTGTTGTTCCCTTTTTATTTTTCGCCGATGGCCCGCCGCTGCCGAAGAGATGGAGGGGCGTGACTGTCATAAAACCGAGAAGAAGGGGAAAAGATTACCAATATGAGGCGAAAATGAGACAAAAAATGCCCACCAGCTAACACGGAAAAGCTCTGTAGGAGCGGGAGACACGTTCATTGCCGGAATACTCTACGGATTCACTGCAGGTAGCCGTGGAGATGCAGGCTGGGATGCGCGTCGCTGCGTGCGCTTTGCCGTCGACCTGGCCACGCTCAAGGTGCAGCGCGAAGGCTTTGCCGGGCTGGGGGATGCCATTATGCATGTCCAGAAGCGCCAGCCTGTGACAACCGTGTGATTCGGGCACGCTTTTCCTGCTAGAAATAGATCAAACACACCCCATGTGATGAATGACCTTTTGCTCGACAACGTCGCAATAACTGCGGCGCCCTTTTTCACTCGCCACTCGAATGTTTGATGGCGCCTGAACCCCCAGGGTTTCTTCTTGGGCAAAATTCCCGTATAATCCGAGACATTCAAGGAACTCTCGTCACGATCCGTGAGACGGGCGACACGATGGGTCGAGAAGGAGACAAAAAATGGAGTTATGCGCCTGTGCTACAAATGAAAAATGGGCGGTGAAACAAACAGGGAGATGGGAAAGGCGCTAAAAACAAAACGTTTTTGTCAGAAAGGAAGTGGTTGCTGATACAACAGCGCAAGTTGCAGCCGCTGTGGGCATTTTTTGACAACTTTTTCGGTGACTCAGTGGTGTCAGGTAACATGCCCGTCCGTCATGTTTGAGCGCCACATGTCGGGCTCGCCTCGAGTTTCTGTCTAGTCAATCAGGGGACAAGATGCCACCGCAAGGTTCAGTTGCTTGGAAGTCAAATGCTACGGGGGGGCCCTTTCATGGGATGCCTGCAAGGTCTTCTTCCCCGTACATATTATTGGCCCGAGATGATGGAGAGCAGAACGCCAGGACCGTGCGGCTTAAAAAGAAGTGACAAAAACGCAGCCGCTGTACCCAACGCCCGTCCTGCTGTTTCGTGGTCCTCATTGGTGCGACGCCACGAGACCTTGGACACACCACCGGTGCCCCTCCAGGAAGAAGCTCGGGGATGTTGCTTTTTGCCCCAAAGGTGTCTTGTTTCGGTAGCGAGGGCGGTGGTCTGCAAGGGCCGCAAAGCAAGGCTGCACTGATTACTGGTACTGGTATTGGCTCGGGATGCGCCTGAACGTGGCGTCGCAACAAAGCAAAAGAGGCGGCAAACGATGTCCGCAAAAGAAAAGTGACATGTCAATGGGGTGTACTTACAGCTTGCGTACAGGTCAATCCGAGCAGCCAACTAGCGATGATGAGATGAAGTTTCCTCAGCCGTCCACTCGGACGCCCGGGAAAAAAAAAAAGACGGCACTTCAGTTGCAGCTAACCCAACCTGACTTGAAGGCGTGGTGGCAGGCCTAGCGAGAAGCAACATTCCGATTCGTTCTCGTACACGTTCCGATTCTGGACAAGATTTCGTTTCTGCGAGAAAAAGAAAGGAGGTTCCCTCCGGCTCGATAATATTTAGCAACAGAGCCGCGCGACCAGTACAAAAAGGGAGGAGTTTTGCAATCTTCTGCAATCCCCGGTCACGGGCATGGGCCTGCAGGGTCAGCGACGTTTGGCCAAATTGGTTGCATGGTGGCCCCCAAACTATTGAAGAGAGAAGAGTTGTTTGAAAGAGACATACTTTTATGTACAGATTCGCGGGCCAGGATGTAGGCCCCGGGTGTCTCAGCTCCTCCGGACCCTACCCCAGGTACCAGTCAGTGGCTTTCTTCGGTTGCTTAACTATTGCAGGCCCGGCGAGACGAGTTGCGACCCTGTTCCCGGCGTGCGAGGGCTCCATGGCTGTTCCGCTTTTAGACATGTCCCGTCTGGAAGGCGCGCATTCTTCTTTCTCTTTGCGGAGGGGGGCGTGTGTATACGCTTTCTCGCTAGTTTTCCCCCTCGTTGGCTGCAGCTGGAAGCAACCGCTGGCGTGCTTTGCGTGCCTGGCGCAGATCAGAACGCGCGCAGATGACCGGCTGGTGCTTCGTCCTGCCCGTCTCTTTACGACAATGCGCGGTTTGTCGGCTTCCCTGCGAGAAAAGGAGCCCCGCGGTGTTGGCCCATGTGTGGTGCAAGGTACATGACGGTGACGGTTATTAATGACCAAGTCCGGGTGCATATTATATCATCCATTTATCCCACACACCCACCCGATGGATAAATAGAACGCCTTCCAAAGTTGGACGGTGCCTCTCGCCAAGAAGACAAGAAGACCTGGATCATCTCTCATTTCTCGGCGGCGATGTCGCAAGTTGGTGCTTGGCCAGGAGCCTCTTTTTTTGTTGAGTGTAACGATGTTTGTTGGAGATTCAAATCCGGCCCAAGAGGCAAGTGACGTCGGTCGCCTTTTTATTGGTGTGGGTATAAAAGACAAGGGCAGCAAAAGGATTGGCGGCTACAAGTCCCGTACAAAGTAAGCATCACACCCGATGCTGCGAAAAGGCATCCATTCTCTTGGTGGTCTCAGTGAGTTGGACAAGGCTGACATTAAACAGCACAAGCAAGCCTGACAGTGGCTCCTTGATGCCCGGCAATGCGTGTTCCGTGATATGTAAGAGAGAGAGAGCTCCCCCCCCAATGTGCCGTCGCCTCAACCAGGCTGCCGATGCATGTGCATTGGAAACGACAATACCCACAACATCGGTGACGAATGCACGTTCTGGTCATTGAAAAAGAGTGTGCGTAACGGGGGATAGGGACCCCGTCTTCTAGGAATGGAGATTCTTAATGAAGCTAATTAGCAGGTTTTTCTTTTTCCTTTTTTTCCCAGAAAAAGAACGTGTCATGCACATGCCTGAGGAGATTGAGAAATTCAGCCTCTAACTAGTGTTGGGTGGTAGGCAGGATTGGCCATGACTGAAGAATAGCTGGGGCCAAGGAGAAAAAAATTCAAACCGTCAGCCGATGGCCAGACGAGACCCGGACGACGGGGGGGGAGGAACGAGCGAACGGAGGTGCCATCGGGGGCCGCTCGTGTGGACCTGTACCGACGGGGGGATCGTCCGTGGCCCGGACATGGATGATGAGCTGTTGAAGGGGCTGGCTGGTCCATCCAGTGGAACGCATTCTGAACTGGGCAGGTCCCTGACAAAGGTGAATGTCGGATGTGTGGGTGTGGTGGCTCAAGGTTCGGCGAGGAGGTCGTTGCGAATTACTTTGTAACTACAAATTACTGGTGGCAAAGCTAACTACGAGGTGAGCCTCGCCAGGGTATGCAGTGACAATCCCTCATCATCGGCTGCCGCTCCAGAATCACCACGATGGTCGTCGGCTGATCAAGTCCAGAGGCATCGCAACGCAACAAATTCGTGACAAGAGGCCCACAACCACGACAGGGCGGGCCACAACTGGCAAACAACGGATGGGGAGGCGGCTCTGAGGTTTACGTCGCAGTAACTAGTTACTGGTGGTAGTCTTGTGGCGGCGTGAACCTTGCTTGTTTGGGCGAGCCGTGGCTGAGCACAAGAATGCGGGTGATTAAAACAAGGGCACCAGTGGAAATGGGGTATTGATGTATAACTAACTGGCGGCTTCTGGTTTTCATGGATCGTCGCGTGGGCATGCATATCCGTACCAGGCAGAGACTCCTGCATCCTTGACCTCGGTCTTGCCAAGCAACGGTGACAAAACCCGTCGGTTTCGGTCTCTGTGTTGGGCGAAGAGTCATGTGGGCTCCTCCTCAGGAAGATGGTATCAAAAGCGTCCATGATGGATTCTCATGACGAGTCACGAAGAGCTACCACCAAAGTTCGGTGCGACCACACGGGAGCAACGGAACGTCGAGTGTTAGCCGAGTCGGGGTAGAAGGGGGGGGGGGGCGTGTGGGGGCAGCGCAGAGGGGACAAGGCGAGCCAGGAGGCCGGGATTATGCAGCCCAGCCCTTGTGTGTGTCTGGCTATACATACTGCGGCGCGCGCAGCACCTGCGTGTGTGTGTGTGCTTGTTGGTGGCGGCGTCGTCGTCGTCGAGCCCGCCACTACGAGAGGCTACTGATACCAGGCCCGTCTCAGGCAGGCCTATGTACTAGGCAGCGGGGAAGAGATCAGGAAATGCGAGAAGACGTGAGAGTAGTGTGGCGGGCAGGAGTTGGGCGACTGATCGATCCACCGTGAGCAGCCCAACAAAAGAAACATGGAAAACATGGCCAAAAGACCATGCTACCCGTGATGATGAGGGGACTGCATGGTCTCACCGCAGATGTTGTTGCGAAGGACGAAGCCAGGAATCTCGCCTCGCTCCACTCTCGTCAATAAATAATGCAACAAAGAACCAGCAAGACTTGAAACCTAACCTTGGATGGCGCCGCAAACAGGTCTGGAGACGAGAATAGCCTTCGGAATCTTTTCAGGCCCGCCCAGTGTTTCCCGTGGAGGGTGAACTAACGAGTTGAGCAGTGTACACGTTTACTATTGTACTATTGTACTCAATACATACATACATGGCGAGCAACCGAGATTGTGCAGAATCGCATGTTGCATTTCAAAGGGGAGTCTCACTGCCCTCTTCCTTGTGATGATCATTCAAGGAAGCCTTGCGCAAAGAGAGACGAGCAGCTTCGTCGTCGTCTCAGGCCGCCAAGTGATTTCGCAAAGCTAACTTACCCCTCCCTCTCCCCGTCATCATCAACTCCCAGTGCCATCATGCAAAGGCGGCTTGCGGGACTAGTTATCTACACTTGTAGCCCGCAAATTTGCACTTTCGGCAAGCCGGGCCCTCATACCCTCAGTCGACCCGTGAGAGGCCCACCTACATACCAGTACGCTTTTTTTGGTGCGCGCGAGGCAAGGGGCTCCAAAACGGTGGTTGGGTACAGGGCAACTCACCAGGAAGGGGGGCTGCTGCTGCTCTTAACTAGAGGGGGGCGTGCCAGCGGCTACTGCAACACAGGCAGCTTCCATGATGAGGTGTGGAGCTAAAGACAATGAAAATGGCAGGGCCCTCCCGGTACTGTGGTTGCGTGAAGAGCCTGTCCAGATGGTCCAGATGAGGCACAACAAGCACAAGGCCGTAGCTGCGGAATAAGCACCGCCCATTGGGGGTTTTGCATCTTCACCCCAGCTATTCGTCATAAATACGCCCGAGCAAAGTGGTTTCAAGGCCAGCAACTCGGAACTCGTCGACTTTTAGTCAAAACCAGCTAAGTTGGCTTCATGATACCAGCCGAGAGTTATTTGCTTCTTGGTCTCGAACCGAAAGCGGACCAGACACCATCAGGAACACACAGAGCACACCACAGAGCAACTCCACGGTGTACAAGGGGG